CTCTTTCCCAGTTTTCTGTGAGATAATCCCGGTAATGGGCTATCTTATTGTTATCTGATGGATATTATAATTACCTAAGTACCCTTATTTACTTTAAATAGTTAGTTTATTTTGTAATGTTATTGATGTTTTCTTAAGTACTTTGTTTTGTTAAATTATTTCGTATATATATTGGATACCGAATTGTAAATAGTCACATTTGAAAAAGAAGTTGTACTTCGAAACATGTCATGTTAGTGTTTTTTAAAAATTTTTATTTTTAAAATAAAAGTGTGAAAATCTACCAAATTTGGTTTTACTCTTTCAAAAATATTGTGGATACGGTAATCCAAAGAAACGCGTATTTTATACACCCCAAAACATTCTTTTGTGTATGCTAACAGACACTTGTGAATGGGTTCGGGAACTATCTCTACGAAGAATCTTAAAAGCTAGAGAAACCAGTCGAGAAACCGTTGAAGTAAGACACTTTGTGGTGCCAAAAATTTATTTCAGTACTGCATACTACTTTGAGTTAATTTACTGGAATGAGTAAGATGTGACACCTCCTGTTTAAAGGAATTTTACTGATGATAATCTTAGGGACCTTATAAACGAAACCGAAATTCCAGACTTTGATTTTCCGAAGTTCCCTTGCCATACTCAATCCATGAAGAGATGCGTAAAATTATTACAGAGTTATCTTCTTTAGTAATTGGTCCAAAATCAAGAGACGGCTTTATTCGCTCAAGAATAAAATCAAAAGAAATTATATGTTAATTTTTATTAAATAATAAAATTGCAGTAATTACATTTAAATATTCAAGAAATGTTTGAAAGTAATGTAACTGCCCGCCCATCCTCCGGCCGCGTCTTAATTATTTAAAAGCACGTATTTAATTACCTCCCTCCCCTTAGTGAAATTCAAAGTAATTCATACTTACTGTACTTGGCCTTTTTCCTCTAGTAGTAGTAATCGTCTAGTCAATTAATTGATAATTTATATACATACGTTGTGATAATTTTAATTAAGATAAACCAGGATTCAATACAAAGTATGATACCTCACATGTGACCTGCCCAAATAAACAGGCCACAGGCCACTTGATATTAAATATATACTATTAAAGAATTCTTGAGGATATCCAGCAGACGTCTTCAGAATTAATAATTCTTTGTTTCAGCCTCGCCTAGGGTGGTTTATGTAGTGTAGTCTTACTAGAATAGAGCCGGATCAATACCAGCGAACCACCCCTTCCTTATGTTCAGATCTACCTACGGTGCGAAGATTGACAGATAATTATTTAAGATAGTCCAACCCTGCAGTGACATCAAGCATATTTTATTTGTGTAAGATGTGAGTCTAGCCGTCCGAAGTGTCATTTATCCCAATCAGCTGAGCGGTTAATTTAGTAGCAATTAGCGAGGGTGTATCGGCACTTCGGTAGACCAAAATCTTAAATAGTTTTAGGCTGGTTTGAATAAAACGGAAAATGCATACTGGGTTGTGTCCATCTAGCGGCCCAAATGTGACGTTAATGAATAATACATTTTTATAATAATGAATAATATAATAATAAACCTCTTTTAAATTATTGACTCACCTTTTCTGACGTTTTTATATTGTTGATACGTGGAAGTGTTGCTGATTTGGAGATATTGAAGGGTCATCGAAACTCAGAGCACCGGGACGTATATGTGAGAGCGTCGTGACGTAGAAAGGTAGGGAAGTAGGGACGTAGAGCATCGGGACGTAAAGCGTCGGTTAGGAAAGATGACGTCGGGAGATAGGTCGTCTGGACGTAGAACTTCGGGAGATAGGTCGTCGGGACGTAGAACGTCGATAGGAGGTAGAATATGAACTGCGTCGGTTTAGGAAAGGTACTGAATATTAAACTTGAATTATACTAGATTTAAAAGTAATGAATGACTGGGGTTTGAAATCAACTGAACTGAAATTGATTTCATAATGCCTCTCAAGTCTCTCGGGATGGGGTCTTTATATCAGATTTAATGACTTTTTATGACGTTAACTTGTCGTAACTCCGGTGGGAACGAATTTGGGTGGATAGAAAAGGGGTGGTCGATTTATTACTTGCCTTAAAAAATTTGTGTGCCAAAAATAATGTTACTATTCAAAACTGACTTAAGATAAGTGCGTTAACTGTTTCAATGATTATTATTTTATTATAAATTTGATATTGTATGGTGGTTTCGGTGCAAGAAAATTGGATCTCTTATGGACAGAGTTATTTTTCGTTAAATGAAGGATTTTGAATTTAATAAGAATGCAATATTTTCTTTAATACAATGGAATTAATAAATTATGAAGGTTACAGTAAAGACAGTTTAAAATTTAGTAAATGTTTGCTATTACTGTTTTTTTTTTAACTTGATGTGCTTTTTATATTTGATTTGTAAGCTTTTATGTTTGATTTGTTAGCTTTTTATGTTTGATTTCTTTAGGTACTTTTTACCATTTTTTAAATTAATGCGTTGTTTAGTTTTAATCATGTAATATTTATTTATTGTTCAAGTAATTTTTACCTTAATTTTTAAAGACAAAAGGATTAAACATTGCTTAAAAGGGGTAGTAGAGGACTGAAGATGTTATTTAAAAATGTTTATTTAAAATGTAACTTTTAGTAGGTATTGTACGTCAAAATTTCAAACTTTAACTTTTCACCCCTAAAGGGGGCGGTAGAGGGCTGAAAATGTAGATTTAGAAATAAAAAAAAAATACGAAGAGTAAGCACAGCAAAACACAAGTTTTGGTAGGTACAGGGTGTCCCAAAAGTCACTATCTGATTTCAAAATTCAATAATTTCGGGCACATTGAGTTTTTTTAATATTGTTTCAGAATTAGAAAATAGAAGCTTGGGAGATTTGTTATGGAAAAATTCAGCGTTGAGCAAAAAGTCGCTATCGTGCAGAGAAGAAAATTATTTTCTGAACAGATTAATCATGAGTGACAAATCGCACTTCCATCGGAATGGCTTTGTTAACAAACAGAATTGTCGGTTTTGGGGAACAGAAAACCCAATAATGATTCATGAGCGAGAACTTCATCCAATAAAGTGTACAGTTTGGTGTGGAGTTACCAGTCGAAGCATCATTGGACCTTTCTTCTTCGAAGATGAAGACGGAAATGCTTAGACCGTTACTGGAGAACGATACAGAGACATGCTCCAAAATTATGTACGGCCCGCTCTAGAAAACATGCCAGAGATGTGATTTTAGCAAGATAGCGCTACTTTCCATACAGCCAGGGCAACCATGGAGCTCCTAAGAGAAATGTTTGGTCACCGAATAATTTTCAGAAATTTAGATTTCCGTACCCCGCACGTTCGCCTGATTTAGCAGCCCCAGACTTTTTTCTGTGGGGATATCTGAAAAAAAGTTTATGCAAATAAGCCCAGAACTCTTGAGCAACTGAAGGACAATATTCGGAATGAAAATGCACTAAAAAGAGCAAGAATGTGTCAAGCGGAAAATGAAGGGGATTTAAAGAATCTAATTTTTAAGAACTATAGGTCAAAAATATCTCCATGAATTACTCTACTTTTATGTTAAAACATTTTTTCAGAATAAAAAGTATTTAGAAAGTTATAAGAATTTTAAATCAGCTAGTGACTTTTGGGACACCCTGTATTATAAACTTAATTTTATGCTTTAAAAATATGCCTATTTCGGTCCAGCCTAATCTGCATATCTCTACGTATAAAGTAATTGATGAAAATATGGGATAACCAATTACTAATCTACAAGAGTTTTTATAATAAAATTACTTTTGAATTTATCTATTTTTGATTAGCAATAAATAAGAAACTTATCTCAATGAGGTAGGGCTTTTTAAGGGGGTAGAGCAGGTCTCATCTACGACGAAAGGTCTTCTATGGTACTTCTTATGTCGTCAAGATGTAAATACTTCATCAAATCAGCAAATCTTCGTATAACAAGGTAATAATTCTTCAAATCAAAAAACCATTATCCAAGTTTTTCTTCATAAAACATGATAATAATTCTTAATCATTCTTCAAATAAAACCATAAAAAATCTTTTAGATGTTGCATAACTAAAATATTTCGACCTTTTAATGGTTAATCGGATAGTTTGGACGGATGAGACGAACGTTTTGAATAATAAAATAAAATATATATTACAAAAACCAATGTATTAAAATCATTCGACCCACAAAAAAATAACCTCAAAAATTTTAAAATATAAAACTCGTTAATATTTGATAATCATTGTATGAAACCAAAAAATACTCTATTCAGTACTTATCATAATTAACCTAATGGTTTTTCCAAATGGAAAGAACCTCTTTCTTAGGTTAGGTTGAAAATGAGTGGGATGATCTCATCGCCCTCCACTGCGACCCAGATGGGTCTATTGTGGCTTTCTTAGAGGATCATCTCGATTATTTAAAATTTGTCTTTACGAAACCAAGTTCCGTAAAAGAAATGTCAATAGTAAAAATGTATCTCGACTAACGGAAACAGAATTGTCATCGAAGGAAAAAGATGGAGCAATAGAGGTGTTCGAAAAATAACTGTATGAAAGACATACCGTTACAGCTTTGATATGTATCACTTTCTTGGAGAACCCTGTGTAATTGAAGTTATTTTTAAATTGTTGTCTTTTAACATATACATCTCGCCGTGAAACCGGATTTAAAGAAAAAATCAAATAATTTTGGCTCTACAGATTTGTGCATATTAATTGGACCAAAAGTTTTAAAGTGGGTTTGTCTAAGTTACCACTGAGTGCACATTTACATCCAAATAAATTACAAACTCATTAACCACAGAAGCATCTAATAGTTGGATTTTGATACGTTACATTAAAAGCCACCAGAAACAGATTTTTTAAATGTTTAAATTTTTTTCTTTGGTTAATTTTTACTACTTCGCACTATTATTTGACCTAACCCACTTTGCATGGTGAGCCGCCAATTTGCTTGAAAAGAATACATTAAAAATTTCAGTGATGTTATTTATTTTTATTAAATTTTTTAGACCTACAAATAACGATGAGATGTGCAATTTTTACATAATGTATTATGTAGAAAATGATACACCGTTGCAAATGAAGTATTGTACGACTGAAGGCCCTCCATATTACCATTGGAACAACGTTTACAATGACTTGAACAACATTCCTGATGTAGAAGCATCATCACTGGATTAGATTTTATAGAAAAAATGACCAAGACTTCCTGCTATACTTACTTTTAAAACTATTACTAATGGGTTTTCTAATAAGAGTTTCTGAATGTTCTTTTCTTCTCTTTTCTTATCGCAAACTTTTTCATGATATTCTTTTTTTTTATTCTTTATATTAGTACAATTTTAAAAACTGGGTCTTCTGTAAAAGCCACATGTCGTGGAATTTGTGATAACTTGTGTACAAAATCGTTCCTCAGAAAAACATCAATTCTAGGTCATTTGGTGATAATATTGAGGCCCAAATGTCTATTGAACGTCATTCACAACAGAAAAACGACAACATGGTTGTCCGATCATCTTTTAAAAAACTTTTGTTTATAATGAACATTCGGAAACTCTTGTTACTAATATTTTAATTATTCAGAAAATTTTTGAAAACCGTTTTGTTTTAAGACACACGAAATAAGTATTATGTACATTTCTGTTAGAAGGACGAATATAATCATTTTAAATATATTTGAGGACAGGCCAATCGAACTAAAACATTCAATGGTAGTCATGATTAATAACATAAATTTTACTTTGTCATTAACTGGTAATCAAAATTGTTATTGTAAAAATATAAATAGCATCTATATAAACCGCGAAAGACAATACTGACTTTTCTCAGCTAAGCAGTATCAAATAATGATTTTTTTGTACATTAAACAGATATTTATATATAGCCTGATCATAAAGGTAATGCTAATCATTTAAAATAAAATAAATTATAAGGTTACCTGCCCTAAGTTAGCATTTAATATAGGGTTCATTCCATATCCTAAAAGTCAATTTTTTAATGTATAATCTATTTTAATAACTACATCGTGCTTAAAATTTCAGCAATTATTGGAACTGTAAATATTCATATCAATACTTCTAGTTATCATACTGTATATATATTTTGTGTGTCTCCTAGTATTTAATATGACCAATTTATATTTCAACATGCTCTATTTCAATTTATTTATTAAATATGCAGGCTAATGTACTTACTGATATGTGTAAAGTTGAAATAACAAAGGAATATTATAATGTATGTTAAAATGAGATTTAAATCCAATCCAGTCTAACCAAAGATACCACTTTAAATGAACGATATGTGTCTGTCTCATTTAAAACTTTTTCAATTTTTATGTGACAAAAAATTGCCGTGATTATTAGATTAAAAAATTAGACCGTTTTAATTTTAGTGATGAAGTGACATGTCAATTAAAATAACTGGATTAGACAGTTACAATATACTTGATTATTAAAATAGATTTGATTTACTATATTAAAAAATGTCAATCAAGTTTGTAAATGATGCCGAAGCTAATCGAATTTTATTTTTACGAAATGCCTTTTATACATAATCTTGACATTAATTTCAAGCTTTAACTTCCCTGGTGTTTATATAAATAATGTCGTTTCATAGTAATTTTAATTTATTGAATAATTTTTTTCTCTTTATACTCTACAGAAGCCTCATCTTAATCAGGATGTACTTATAAAATCCCTCTGTTTTTTTGGTAACCTTAAAAGTACCTGGCAATGCTAAACCTCAGTATGACCCAGGAAAAAAATATGAAATTGTCTGGGTAACGTTACCTCGCCCATCTTTTTCTCCTGATTTTTTTCCTTTTCTTATTTATTTCTCGATAACTGTCATGTCAAAATCCGAGATGATGTATATAGACTTATACAATACCGGTATATGTATAAAAATTGGTATCATCAGGTAATTGCTTTGAGGAATAATGGTATATTACTGGTTTCTAATAAATTTTATATTTCACCTTCAAAAGCGCACGAACTTATTTAATTACCTGGTAATTAAAGGGGCCCTTCACACTACGATTTTTGTGAGATTTTACAATCTATCGATTTGGTCTAAAACTCAACATGAAGTGATCGATCTAATTCACATCTGGCCTCTCCGGATAGATGTGAACGTAATAGTCCCTCATCTGCCAGCAAAAAGTAGCATGTCGTGTTTTTTGCTTGCTATTTGAAATTGGGTACAATGCAGGTGTGAAGAATATGTACTATGTCCTGGTGGTGGGAGCTGTCGTGTAACCTGTCAAATTTAAAGTATAGTTGCTAATTTATGGATTTTTTAGCTTTTTGCTGGCAATGAAATAATATGCTTCTTAACGTCTATAACAATAAAAAAATCCCTTTGCAAGCATTTTCTGTCATCCGGTGTAGGGATTTCAGCCACGTGACCGTATATTGGTGCTTTTCAACCAAATTCGGGATATAGCTTAAACGCGATTTTTCTGAACTTAAAATGATATTGCAAGCATTTTTTTAGGTCTGCGAAAGGATCGATATGAAAAAATTATATCCTTGAAATAGCTGTAAAATCGGAATCAAATGTCAAAAAGTGATTTAATTGCCCTCAAAATGTTTGTATGACTTTCAACTCAACTAAGAATTACATTTTTTTTTCAGTAGTTCTACCCCATTGCCACAAATTGGATTATTTTGACATTTTTTATAGAAAATCCGGGGTGAATAGAAGGTTGAATGGTTGAATTATTATGTAAAATAGGTTTGATTGCTTCCATGTTTGTATGATCCTTAACTAAGAATATTTGGTGAATTTTTAATTCAACAATTTTACCCCATTCAGCCTCTTATTCACCCTGAGTTTTCGTGAACGTATCAAAATAGTTTAATTTATAGTGAATGGGGCAAAACTACTGAATAAAAAAGCTTGCAAGGGCAATACTCTTAGTTGAGAATCATACAAACATTTTGAGAGCAATTAAAACACCTTTCGACTTTTGGTTCCCATTTTACATGTATTTCAAGGTTACATTTCAACTCTCACCGACCTAAACGAATGCTTGCAATATCATCTTGAGTTCAGAAAAACCGCGCGTTTAAGGTATATCCGCAATTTCGTTGAAAAACACAAATATCCGGTCACGTGGCCAAAATTCCTACACCGGAAGTAGCAAAATCGGACGACAGAAAATGTTTGCAAAGATATTTTTTATTGTTATAGACGTCTAGGAGCATATTATTTCAAAGCCAGCAGAAAAAAACGAAAAAGTTCATCGATAAGCAACTTTACTTTGAATTTGACAGGTTACACGACAGCTCCCACCACTGGGACATAGTGCATTTTGTTCATCCCTCTCCCAAAAGTAAAAAAACATGACTTTGCGTTTTTTGTATTCAGATGAGGGACTATAAAGTGTGAAAAGAGCTGATTCAATCTTGTCTTTAGATCAGAACTGTACGGCAGGCCATTCGAAGCGTAAAGGGCCCTCATTAGGCTTTTAATTTTTTATTCGTTTTATGTATGTTCTAGGTTTAAAATGTACATTTTTTTTCATATGTTTCAAATATTCCAGTTATTTAAAACACATATATTTTATAATAAATATGGACATTAATATTGTAATTACTGTTTTTCCAGCAAATGTTTTTTTTGATGTCAATTTTTAAGAGAAATAAATATTGGCGTGTGCAATCGAATTTACATACTTATACAGTTTTTAATATGATTCTTTTTAAAGTTTTTTAAAGTTGTATATTCAAGGAAGTCAGTTATTTAATTTCGAATGTAGGCATATCTTGTGCTAACAACTATAGATATGTTGATATCAAATGGACTATAATGTGAAAAGATATGTACACATATGTTTTGTTCTCGAAAGTTTTATGAATATAAAAGGTTTTCCAAAGGGTTTTCTAAAAATAACATAGTTTATTTAACAAATGCTTTATTTTTTTTACGAGACAGACAATTCTAGTTGTAGGTCCCCATCAATATAATAAAGAATATCAACCAAATGTTCCTCTCCGTTTCTTTGGCAGGAAGTAATTATTTTCTCTAAATTTTGAATTAAGTCTAAGCACAAAAGTTTAGTTATATCTTACTAATTACGCACATAATCTCATTCTTCAGATAAGGAATTGTTTACGAAGTTTTGACATACATCTTGGTTTTCAAGAGACGTCAAATCGCACAATCTCGGTTGCCATTTCTTGAAATTATTCTGTGCCCAAATTTGGTTGTGGCCCAACCGCCAACGGTTTTAAACAAAATTAGGATACTTATTGGAAAACCCTGTATAAGATTTTTTAATATATTTGCCGTTGTTTATTTTTGATGTAAGCAGGAGATTTTTGAAAAAAAAAAAAAAATATTGAAAAGAACAGTTAAAATAGATGCAAAATTAGAGAAAGCAAACATTTATGTTTTTATTTTTAGCAAGACTTAGGTGTTGATTGATGGATCTAACATGTTAGTTCCTGGTTAATATTTTACCTTGAAAAGTCTTTTTTTTTTCGAAGACAACCTGTACACATTATCCTATAATTTTTAGTGATCCTTTTATATACCAGTATATATCTGTATATTATCTGTACTCAACGTTGCTCAGGGCTATAGGTGTATTGCCTGAAGATTGGCAAAAAAACTAAATACGCACATCAAAAAACTGTAGAATAATAATTTATCTTCAATAAAGTGTCTTAATTTCAAATTTTATTGCATAGAATTACGAAAACGTATAGAGAGGACCATTAAATAACTACTTTTATGAAATGATATCAAATTAATCTGAATATAATGGAGATAAAAAACTATTCTATATCAGGTTTTTGTATTTTTAATTGTAAACTAGAGCTACCTCATATTTTATTTAATATATGAACATCAAAGTGGAAGCACAAATGATAAAAAAATTAAAAGAAACAATTGAGTTCTTTTTTTTTTTCAAGTAATATTAATATTATGTATATCTACTGAAACCTAAATCAAACTATGTATGTTCCAAGTACTACCACCAGGATTTTGTTTCGTGAAGTTTAGAACCATAATTTCCAAAGAAGCAACAAAAATTCTCACATCTTGTGGTATTACCTACGGGGCTCGGTTTCCATGTAAACAGTTGGTAACAAGTTTGCTTGACCTCGACAGTAGTTCGCTAAGCGATTACGGTTGAACTACACCTGTCTCATTCAGTCGACAAAGTAGGACACTACTAAGTAAAGCGATTTAAAAAGTGGCGGGCTTTATAATTGAATCGCTTATTTCAGACACAGCCTAAGTCACTTTTTGTCCATATTGGGTTTAACACATTGGCATTGTTATTTTGGAGTAACACACAGAAATAACCTAATTCCTGTAAACATCCTTAGTTATATGACAATTTAAAATATTCGTTTATTTCTGACACAACCTTTATCCTGTTCCTAGTTCAAAACGTTTTTTTTTTTCACCTCCTGGAAACTCTGAAAAGTAACTTAGGTTGTTTCTGAAATAAGCAATTCAATTTAGATATTTGAAAACTTTTACTTGCAACTACTAAACAATCAATAAGTTTAGAGAATTTTTGTTGTAGGTAAATGTTGAAAAATGGAAAATGTCACTTGTTTTAACTGAAAAATAAAATTAAGTGAAAATGAAACACATTTTAAACAAGTTTAATTTGTTTAGAATTACCATGTAATTACTTTTGTCTCATTATCTTCTAACTGCATATTCTGAACATAACATAAGCACTATAGGGACCGTGCGTCATGACTTAAACGCCAACTGGTGACAAAAATGTGCACTTTTTGGGGGAGATTTATTAATGTTTTATACGACATTTATTGTTTAGTAATTATTAATTAAATAAAGTCGAATTATTTTCGTAATATCATTATCGAAAAAACTTGTTGCATCCGTGGATGTACAAACATATCGCTTTGGAAACCTGGATTTGATTCGGTAATAAAGAAATTTTATCAATTTCCACAGAACACACTTCGTGTCTCACACCCAACGATATACATAATTACATAGATTGATTATCCATATGTAAATCAGACGACGAAAAGCATATTTCACTGGGCAAAGTTTTTTTTTTATCTATTTTGTATCAATTTTGAGCACTTAGTTGTAAACAAATCATTTACAGAACCGGTTTATGAAATTAGAATCTTTACTGTTTTTTGTCATTAAGATTTTTACATATTTAAATGAACATTTTATATAAATATAATTTTACAGATAATTAATGGTTTATTCTGTTAATTGAAACTAATGTAGAATGTTACTGTGAAATTAGAATGTCCAATTTGACAAACATATACAATTTTTTAACTATTTCACTAAAATAAACAAATCATAATTAATACATTGCAATTACTGTCAAAAGAGATTGCAACAAACTTTAAAATATTAAAAATCCAGTAATTTTTTGTAAAATTTTTAGTAACATTACTATTAAACATTACTCAGAATAATAGATAAGTGTCTTACTCTTACAAAAGTTGTTTATATCTCATATTAAAGTTGTTTACATTACCTTTACAAAGTTGTATTACATATTGCAATTATGTGTTTTATATAGTGTTATTTCTGAAATGAGAGTGGTCTAAAATTATTTACATCCATCCTTATAAAAATTGTTTAGATCTCTTAATATTATTTAACTACATGGAAACTCAACTCTCAAAATACATAATAACGTGTCTTAAATTAAGTAATTATTTTCTTTTTCCAAAGAATAAAACGCTGAAATTTGATTTTAAAACACATTTGGGCTAGAACGCTATATTTCGTTGACACTAGGAAAGGCAATCTAGCACTTCACATTGCAACCCGCTTTTCGTAATCTTTTTATAAATGAGTGAGCAATCTGTATAATTATGTATAGCATTGGGCGACTCATAAACGTCTAAGGTGGACAGGTGGATGAATGACATTTCGACTAACAAAGTTAAAAAGAATTATTATTATTAGGCATTCCAAACAAATGAATTACCAGTGGGCAGGTTTGGTATATCTAAGGGTGGCGACATATGGTGTATTCTATCTACTTTACGTAAAATCATGAATAATGGATTACATTTAAATATTTTATGTCAAACACAATAAAAATAATATTTAAAAAACCCATCTATACATTTCTTCATAAATTGGCAGGCTTGGCGAGTACTACTTCGAATAAAAATAGCGTCCAAGTTGCAAGACTATGTCGCTACCCCCTTAAATATACAATAATTTCCCACTGGCACCTATTGTTTGACAGGTCGTTGGAATGCCTGATTCTCAATCTTTTTTATTAATTTACATTTTTAAAATGTTATTGTAATAATTTTAAATTCAGTGTTACTAAATACCGATATTTTGACATTGGATCACATACTTATAATAGGTATACGGAACAAGAGAGACGTCCGACCTGTTTAACATAGGGGCGGCCATTTTTATACAAGATTACTAGTACATAGGTGACCAGAAATACAGCAATATGAAAACTTGGTTGCAGATGTCTAGGTCTTTTCACTTTTAAGTACATCATTTTGTACAGATTTTTTAAAAGAAATAATACAATATTATATCTGAATTAAATTTTTATTCTACAACAAAAAAAATATTTTAATGTTTAAAAATACATGTTAGGCTGATAAATAATAGGCCGACAAATAATAGATTAAATACCTAAATACTAATTTTAAATGACAAAAGTACAGTAGAGGAAGTTAAAAATATTAAAATTTCCAGGATACTTTAAAATTAAATTGATGGTTGCATATTTGTTTTATTTTAAACAATTTACTTTCTTCTTGTATAATTTCTAAAAGCTACAAATTTTTAGTGAACGGGTCGTCCTTATTGATTCTGCAGTGAATTGTACTAACAACTTAAAAGAAATTTTGTCCAATCTCTATATGGCAGATAACCACAATAAGGAACGATCTGCTTGTTTTGGAACCCTAAAATAATATAAAGACACTGCTTTCATATCCTTTATTTTTGCTAAATCTTATTACTTACTTGTGGAATGTAACATTTGAATCTATTGGCAACAGTCTTCTTATGTTATTATTATTATTATTATTATTATTATTATACATTGATAATGGCTGAGGACACAAGTCCTATGATAGCCTAAAAACAAAATAGAAAAATTCTAACAAAGTAAACACACTGAAACAAAAATAACACTAAAAATTGAATAAAAATGTTATGCAAGATCTTACAAGACATCTTGAATAAAGCCCAATATAGAGAACTTATACTGGGATTAAAGTCTATTCACAAATGATAAAATAAATAAAACGTTTATACACTTAGAAAATAATATCCACAATCAAAATATTCTAAAATAACACAAAAAAATTTAACCAAATTCACAAACACATTAAAATTTGACACTTTTGACAGATGGAAAGAAATTGGTTGCATAAGTTTCAGTTTGTTTATATAAAAATGGCGGTCATTTCTGTCTTCTTTTATTAAACACTCAGTAAAGATGCGCAGAGGGTTTTACGCCGTATACCTATTTAAGTATGTGCATTGGATACACTTGCTTGAGGTACAACTTTACAATTTATTGTCACTTAATCATTTAAATCTTTTTGCTCAAAATTTATATACATGTACAGATTTTAATAATTTTTCACATTTTATATAATTTTGCACATGTACACGATTGTTTGTGACGGGCCGGTATCTATATTTAACTATATTTAATATTTTAAAAAATATCCTTTATTTTTTTACTTGCAATGTTTACCCCATTTAATTCTAAAATTGAACACTATAGAGAGGGCTAACTTCGGCAGTAGTGCTGCCTCTATATTTCACGCACGGTCCCTATATAACACACTAAATTTCTGAAAAATACAAATATATAACCAGCATAGCACAATGATTTTATTAAAAAAACTGGATATAGTTTTCATAAAAAGTCAAAGTAGTTAACTTATAAACACAATTGTTTTAATAATACTGACTTATTAATGCAAGGAAAATCATTCTATTATTATTATTATCATCCTTTTACGGCCTTTACCCATCTATTTCAATCTAGAGTAGTTGTAATGCCTATTTTCGGGTACAATAAGCCTCCAGCTTCAGTACAGGTGAGCTTTGAAACACGCCCTAATTCAGATAGGAATATCTAAAACAAAACAAAAATAAAGGCGCAGTGTGTATCTTAACATTAAAAATGAACAGATATAACTTTTTACATTCTTACAATTTTCTTGCAATAAAAGGTATAAAAAAATTTGTATAAAAATAGAAAACATTAGATTTATGCTCTTAGCAGGTTGACTGTAAAGTAAAAACTTGCCTTTTAAAAAATTTATTTTCAATTAAAATTATTAATACAAAATTATAATGTTTCGATAACTGAATATAATATGATTCTCATTAAAATAAACAATGTTTTAGAATGTATAACTTTGGATTGCTGACTGTGTCGTCACCTAAGATATTGAACTGGCCATATATGCAATTGGTTGTTATGAATTCGGATTACATAACTTTCCAACTATATACTGAGCGTTGCAAATCATAATGAAAACGACTCGCACCGGTGCGTCGTCGGCACTGTGCATTTGACCTACACCTCGCACTCGTGAGTGGTCAGCATTCAACCTGTTAACAGGTGAACCATGCAAAAATTACCAAGTTGACATAAATATTATATTAGTTTTTGAACATATTTGGGTATTATTTGATAAATATATTAATTAATTTTACCCAAAAATTGAACAGTAACTATTTGAGCACAAATCAATCGCCCTTTTTTATCATGATTAAAACTATGATGAGGTTCTATCTCGGATTCTACAATATCTGTTTGTAAATTGACTTCACACATTTCGCTCACAACTCTTTCATTTTTTTGACCACAAATATTTAAAATGTTGATCCATTATTCTCTAAAAGTAATATTAATAGCAGGAAAAATAAAATTTCTTGTTAGTTTTGTGAGAAAAATATTTACTTCTGCAAATAAAATTTAATTAAAATTAATGACATTCTTAAGAACCTCACTATACTTATAAATTACTTAAATCTAACTTAAACTAAATTAATATAATTTACTCAACTACATTTGAAAAAAATATATCAGACCGTTAACAGACTGGCATTAGGCATTCCAAACTGAATGGCTACCAGTGGATTTTGACATGGTTTTGACAGGTTATGATATGGCAAAATTATGGCAACCCTGTAGGCCTGGTGATTTGACAAGGTCAATGAAATAGATAGTTACATAGATTGATCATCCATATTTTTCAAAATAAACAAGCTTATGCCTTGAAATAAAGTAAGCAATTATTTTTTTAAATATCCAAAGACTGAAAATTGGTTTTAAAACACATTTTTGTTAAACCGATTCAAATTAATAAATATTTGCCAGGCAATATTGCCGCTCGCAAACGACCAGCTTTGAGCAATCTATATAACTATATATGTATCATTGACCCTGTTAATGACATGATAACAGGGTTGCCATATCTTAACTGTCAGTCCCCACTGGATAGCTATTCACTAAGTGATGGGAGCGCTCCCATGGGAGTGTTCCCATATATTTAGCTCTCTTACTCTTAGGTGGGTATATCGTGCTTACTCACTTTTAGCCCAGGTACATGCGTAGTTAGGTCGAAGTAAGCACGATATACCCGCCTAAGACTAAGAGAGCAAGTGACTTAGTGAATAGCTACCCTGGTAGCCATTGGCCAGGTCGTTATAATGCCTAATATTTAGTGCAACATAACCTAATTTATTAACAAAGCCAGATTTACACCATCTCATAATATTTAAATTTAGCTTTAACTTAACATTTATTAACGATTATCCCTGTATTTGATCGCACATCGTTTTAAAGTGAACTTTAAAGGGTTAAATCAGTAAAATTATTGATTTCTTTTTCATTATTTTTGAAAACATATTTTTTATGGGTGTAAAACGGGTTTAAATTTAGTGATAGCAGCGCGCTAAGCGCTTACGGTTAAACTACAAACAAGGAAACAAGTCCCGCGATTTATTCAAACCTTTTCTTTTTATTTTTCTATGGTATTACCCTTGTAAATGTTTGACTTAAAAAAAAAAAAAATTAAAAAATGACCAAAAATATGATAGCTATAATCAGTAATTTTTTTTAATCTTGTTAATGTTGGTCTTTTTCTAATTACGAGGTTGAAAAATTGACGCTATTTTTTACTTGTTATAACGTTTATATAATCCTCCTTCATGTAGTTTTAGCTCAAAGGACTAGCTATTTTGTGCCATACTTTCATGTTGCCAGTGCCAGTTTTATTAAAGTGAAGGTTTTTTTAAATTTTAGAACATTACAATGATTTAGGTTTTGATTTGCATATATATTGATTAAAATATTTGTTAAATACGATGTATTAGAACGCGTTGTCTTCAGGAAAATTGAAAGTCATATCAGGAGTAGACTGTCTTGCATATATTTTCCAAACTTTGAAACAATAGTCAATCATAATATAGGTATTTATTAGAAAAGAGCAGTATAGGTAAATTTGAAAGAGTATTATTAATGTTATATATTTGTTAAAAAAAAATTATAGTTTAATTTATGGCCGAGCAGATTTCTGTTTTGCTTTAAAAGAGAAAAATAACTTTATAATGCACAAGTTTTGAATTTTGGAAACTGCCTTATAGAAACTAAATATTATGATAGATCTGAATCTTGATAATCATGCAAATGTTAATCTTTTATCACAAACAAATACATTCGATTTATTTTTTTAAGAAGTTAAGATTGAGATTTATAAAAAAAATATTTGATTTCTATAGTGTCTTCCATAAAATGTTTTATAATGTACAGAGTACGTCACTATATTTCAAAACCAAAAGGCTGATGGTGTATGTACTTAAATCCATTATACCAGTTGCCAAAAAATTTGTTCTGGTATATCAAAAATCATGTAACTTCTGATTCAAACATTTCTGTATATAAATTGCTTATACATTAGTTACATGATTTTTAAGTCAAGGAATTTACTTTTAAAGTTTGTTTTAATTTTTTTCTGTATAATAGTTTGTGACTGATTCTGTACTTAATTTTTGTTGTATGACTTTGTACTTAAATCAAATAGTAGTATACAATTTATCTCAAAACCAAATTATTAGTATATAAAGTTATATTTTTAATTAGAATATATTATTTTACTTGAAAAATTGTTATTTTTTAGTCCTAGAGCTGAAAGTAAAATGAACTGCCTCATAAGTTACCAAATAATCTACAGTGGCATTGTTAAACTATTAAAAACTATTAAACTAAATTAAAAACCTTTCGTCCGCCGAGTATTATTGGTCGCCTTTATAGGCCCCACAATTCTCAAAATTTTGTAAAAATCGAAGTACATTTTCCTTATTAGTACCAGAAAGAAATACGTATCAAAGAAAGAGAAAATACACATTAAATGCAAAATATGACGTCTGCCGCGCTATGCAGTCCCGTTTTTAAATGAGACCATGTTAAAAATGTTCAAGAAACGCCTTCAATCTCGTCATCAATTACTAGTTTGATTTTTTGTAAATAATTAGTTTATTGGGTATTCATTTGTATTGTAAAAAGGAAAAACTAGTTATATCTTCATAGGCACCCGGAGGGGACCCCCTATCTTTTCATTTTGTTTTCATTTTTATTTTTTAAGTAACTTTTAAAGTAATAAACTCAATTACATTGAAGATTTTTGATTGCTCCCCTGAATGTTTTCCCGTGTCATTGTTTTTTACATACCAAATGAAATCCATATTTTATTTTAGATCTGATCGTCTATCAAGTTGGTAACTAATAAAAAACAAATTTTTTTGCTTGTTTTTAATTAAGAGTATGAAATAAAAGTGGTTAAGATTATGCTTTATTTACAACATAGCGATGTTGTCAAACTTTTTCACCATGATTATTTCATCATTGCCAAACTAAATTATCTGAAGTAGTATTGGCGTTTCAAAAGGGTTTAAATGTGTTGTTTTTAATTAATTTTGAAAACTATCTCACCACTCAACTCAGGACACAATCTCCTCACTTCATACAACTGCGGTCATAGCAGTACACTCTCTCCAAATCTCTTCAGCCATCCTTCTCGATGTTCAAAAAGTCTTTGACCAAGTCTGGCATGCTGTATTAGTTCCTACGATATCTCTAAACTCATTAGTCTCTGACGGAACTATCACAGTCAAAGTAGGCAACGCCCAGTCAGACCATTTACCCCACTTGCTGGAGTACCTCACAGTTCCGTCTTGGCACCTCTCCTATACCTCATATACATCCACGATATTCAACCTCCAATTGTCAAAATGTCTTCTCTATGCCGATGATATTGTTCTGATCTCGGTCGCTAAAAATTCTGACTGTACCCGAATTTAAAATTACTAAACGAATACTCCCGCTGGTGTAGCAGACGGGAGGATCTCACTCAATCAACAATTCATAATTTTTAAACATCCAAACTCACAAAGAACCATTCAGCTTCCCCAGAACGTTAATGCAAATCTCTTGGGAGTCGGACTCGCCAAACAGACCGAAGTTGACTATTTGGGAATTCAATTCTCTCACTCTTAACTGTTCCTCTGATTTCAAATGCTAGTCTCATTGGAGCTTTGTGTGGTCGATTTGTGCGATGCAACCTAAATACTCTTAATTCGTACTGATACATCTTTTATCCGCCCCATTGCCAAATACCGAACTGTATCTTGCAGCGTACTTCCAACACATCTAATCCACAAAATCACCACACTCGAGAGACGTATCCTACGACGAATATCTTCCTCTCTCTCTATCTTCCTCTTCATTGGAGAAGTTTTCGAAAACATCTCTAACACCCCCATTCTCTCCTTTCCAAACCCTCAGGAGACAATACATCTTTCGCACTCTGAAAGGCTCAAAAACATATTGCCAAAAGACTCTATAAAACACTTGGCGCCCTCGGCGCCTCCCACTATTCCACAAACCGAAAAGAAAACTCCCCCAACCTAACAGATGATTACTCTCGTGACCTCCCACTGCCCGCTAAGCTCCAGGATTTGCTAGAGTCGACCCCATTATCCTTAAGATAAACCAATCCATAAAAAAGTTATTTCTCACTTTAAGAAACACAACTACCTATTACCTAAAACTCTGTATGACCTCCCTATAAATTTGAGCAAGAGCCGACCCTGTTCCTTTAATATCTTAAGATTTTCCACCATTAAAATTCAACGTGAAGCTCAAAACTCAATTTGCCGCTCTCCTCTCATCTTCTAATTGAGCCAAATATGACCGATTGAATCAAGCCGCTTTATTTTCGAGTCCCCATTGGCCGAAAACTAAATGCAGGTAACCGTTGGACCATTTTTTATTCGAATGTGACATAAAACGTCGTTTTATAGCCAGATTTCCTGATTTTACATTTTTTTTGATAAATTTATTTTGTGATCACAGGAAAAATATTGTACATCACTTGTGTAATAGTATATTACATTACGAGTGTGGAAAATCACTTTTCACACAAGTGATGTACAATATTTTTCCTACGACCACAAAATAATTTCATCAAAAAATGTAAAACCAGATTATTATAATAATTAAAATGTATTTAAAAAAATAATCAACAATAATCGTATTTATTAAATTTTCATAATTCCTAAACAAATAAAAAAAAATAAAAAAAAAATAAAAAAAAAATTCTGGCACAGCCAGGATTCGATCGCGGTCGTTGGACGGTCTCAAATTGCAAAGTTGATGCTCTAACCAACTGAGCTAACAGGCCTTACGGTAATTGATTGATCTAATCGCTTATGTGTTTAACCAGAATAAAAAGCAAATATATCTTAGTTATTTTAAAATTATTTTAAAAATAATTGTTAAAGATACATATCTAGGATCTAATTTACAATAATTTAACAATCATATCGATTTTAATATTAATATGGACATTACATAGATCAAAATAGAAATTATGTGTTTGACATTTTCTGACAGCTACTGCGGAAAGTAGCATATTCTCACTTGGGTGGAAAGTAAATTCTTATTCATACGCGTGTGATATAGGGCACTTTCCATAGGTCTATATAGTGTGATATGTGTCACTTTCCTAAGTGGTCGTAGGAAAAGCAAATATATCTTAGTTATTTTAAGATTATTTTAAAAATAATTGTTAAAGATAAATATCTAGGATCTAATTTACAATAATTTAACAATCATATCGATTTTAGTATTAATATGGACATTACATAGATCAAAATAGAAATTATGTGTTTGACATTTTCTGACAGCTACTGCGGAAAGTAGCATATTCTCACTTGGGTGGAAAGTAAATTCTTATTCATACGCGTGTGATATAGGGCACTTTCCATAGGTCTATATAGTGTGATATGTGTCACTTTCCTAAGTGGTCGTAGGAAAAAGTGATTTTTTACACTCGAAATGTAATAAACTATTTTAATATACCCTTTAATTAGCTAGATATGACTATTGTAAGTTTTTAAATTATCATTCCGTATATCATTGTCTAGATACACTGTAACTCTGTAGGGAAATAATGATTCAATTGTATCACGTAACGTTGTCAGGTTTTGAATGTAAAATAATAGAAAATGCATATTTCGTATTTGTTTAGTTCTAAAATATTATCCGTTTTATTTCTGCGATAACTTTAAATTGACAGACCATCATAATAAAAAAAAAATTTAATTCGTTTAAAATAACAAAATATCTTGGTAATAGTAAGGCATCCATTTAACAAAGAATATAATACTTTTTTAAAGCGTCTATCTTATAAATGCAACCGTCTGAAGAAGTTTTCTTTTTACCATGTTATGTTATGTTGAGAATGGGATGTTAATACACTGCGACCTAAAAGATCTATTGTGTCCCCTTCTGTCGCCAATGCACTAAGGAAATGTCTTAATGCCTATAACGACCCTTCCAATCCTATTTTCTCAAGGAAGTGTAGGATTTGAAGTGGCTTCAAGTTAGGTAAATCTCCCTCTTCTATTTGATATCCTCCTAGATATAGTGCCGTTGGATTCTGGAGTGCTACACATTCAGTTAGGATGTGAATGGAGGTTTCGTCCTCCTCCTGACAGAATCTGCACTCACTATCCTCTACTACTCTCAGTTTACTTAGGTGTCCTTTTAGTCGGCAATGCTCGATAAGGATCCCTGTTACAATACGTAGTCTGTTCTTGCTCAGGCAGATGCAGGCTTCCGATCTTTTCTGGTTATATTCACCCAGAAGTATATTGGCCTGTCTCAGCCCCAAGATATTGTTCCAATTATCGGTTCTTCTACTGCCCAATTCTTTTTTAATCTCTCCTAATATTATGTTACTGCTGATACCGCAGAACGGCTCAGGTCCTACAAAGGGTGTTTGAGCCCCTTTCCTTGCAAGACTATCTGCAATCTCGTTACCCTGTACCCCGTTATGTCCCGGGACCCAAGTGAGAGTAACTCTATTTTTCTCGCCTAGCTCATTCAATTGTTTTAGGCATCTCAAGACCATTTTTGAACTGATTACGTAAGAGCTCAGCGCTTTGATGGCTGCTTGACGATCGGATATGATGATATTCTCTTGTCTATGATAGTTTCTCTCGATGTTAAACTGGATACACTTATCGATGGCGTGAATTTCCGCCTGGAAGATGCTTTGGTATTTTTCCAAGCCTTCGGAGTGCTTGGTTCTCGGCCCATACACTCCTATTCCAGTTCCTTCTATGGTTTTGGAACCGTCCGTATACCACTGAATAGCACGTCTTTCGGTTGCAAGCGCGATGGATTCTTGGCTGCATTCTTTCTTGCAGTCCAGCTCTGTGGTTTTGAAGTTTTTCACAAAAATGTTCTTCTTTAGCATTTCATCCTGGGGCATGTCCCAGGTATCTTTAGTCCTGAAACAAGTAGACTTTCGTCTGATAACTCCATTCCTGATCATTCTATATCTTGTCCTTTTTGCCACATTCTCTATCATCAAATATAGAGGGGCGAGGTTTAAGATCACCTCCATTGCGGCCGTAGGACAGGTTCTCATTGCACCAGTAATACAAACACAGGCTAATCTTTGTACTTTTGAGATATTAGCTCTCGTAGTAGCTAAACTACAGTCTGTTCGCTATACTTACGCGGGTTTCGGATAAATTTTTTTATGAGTATTTCCAGGTAAGTACCCGAAAGTTTGACCTGTTCTTTGGGGAAATATCAACTGGTTAAATAAAATGAAGGAAGGAATGTCGCTCTCTAACGTAAACAGATCAGATCAGTTTTTAACTAGATCTTTAATGCTCGGTGTGCTTAATGTGATGTCTAATACAATACCATACAAGTGACCATACAAATAACCAACTCACTAATTATATGCAAAAAAATCAATCTGCTAATTGATGTCGATGTTGAAGGCGTTTTTTGAAAAAATTTTAGGTATATTATCTATTTTAAAAACGGGACCATATGGCGGGCAGACGTCCATATATTGCATTTAATGTGTATTTTCTTTAACGCCAAATTCTTCTGATACTAATGAAGTAAATGCTCGGATAAAGCTTTGAAAATTGTGGGTCCTAAAGGCGACCACTAAGGCCCGTCAGATGAGCGATTTTTGATTTGGTATTTCTATTAGGCATTCCAAACAAAATGGCTGA